CTTTATTAAATCAGCTAATTTAATTTGCATTAATCCCAGCATTGCAGTTGCAGCCGTGTTCTTTCATCCGGTTCTGTGTCAGACAGTCTGTTTGCGTGCATTGAACATGTTGGCATTAGCAAGGAACACAAAAGATATATAGTGTTTCCAGCTCATCTCTAATTAGGCCAATCAAAAGTGTGCTTTAGTTATAAAACCAGCACATCACAACAGGCGATGATCTATTGGTATGCAAATAAAGCCTAATGAGTTTCTAAGCAGTGACATACTGTGATTAGGCCTCACAGAAACCTGACAATGGAAACATTCATCTGCTGAAATTACCGAGGAGAAGAGACAATTTATTGCAATTAATGTGAACAATGAAGCGAAAGGGGTAAAGAAATAAACGTGGACTTTAATGAAGGGAAATGTTACATTAATAATGGGCTGAGGATTGGGTTTGTTTTGTACTTTTTCAGGTTGAACCATATCTGCCTTATGAGTACACCTGCGAGGGGATGCTGGAGAGAGTTCACGCCTACATCCAGAACCAGGTGAGCTTTGGGCCGTGTCGCTACAAATCTGTACAGACTGCCGGACAAAACACACACACATGCAGAGGTTCTCTCTTTTAGTCTCCACTCCCCCTCTCTTTCTTGTACACACACTCTATTCAAAAGCTTTCAAACTCCCCACTCTGCTCAATATTTCATGGTTGTGTGCGTTCAACACCCCGAACATCGTGTATCAGCCCATGTGTGTGTGTCAGTGTCTCTGCACTCCATGTATGTGGACCTGTGATTAATCTGTGTGCTAACTCTCATTACAAGCCACATAGCTGCCCTCCGGCTCTAAAAGCAGAATGTCTTCTGACACTAATGAGGAGGGATGAGTAAGGAGAAAGAGCAGAAGTGTGGGGATGATGATGATGGAGGACTGGGATAAAAGAAAGTTTCTCTTTTTTTTTTTTTTTAGTTCCCTCCCGACATGGTACATAAACCTACAGAAGGTCTCTCAGCAGCTTTTGTTTGCTCCTGACTGGCAGCTGGTTTGGACACAAAAAAAAACTGTCTGAGGACAAACGGGAGAAAGTTAAATCATGTTCATATTAGATTTAACATAGAAGCCTGTTCATGCAGGTCATGAGCAGGTTGTGCTCTCGCTACGGCAGCAGCTGATTAAATCACCACCTATTTTCCTCACGCTTTCTTTAACATATGTTTTAATACATGCTTCATGTTTTTACTGAATCCTCCATAATGCACATTGTTTCTACGTGAAACCCAGCTCAACGCTATGACCTGCTTTATTGTTGTTGTTCAAAGATCCTTTACAAAACACGCTTTCCTGCGCCCCGCTTTGACACATCCTGCACGGATAAAAAGAAAAATATGACCATAATTAGTGTCGGCTGTGCCGCAGATGTAAGCAGTGAAAGGGCAGTTGTGCTTTTGTAAACTCTCAATGATATTTCCCGCTAACTTATTAGCGGGTTGAAATTCCTTTTCGGTTTGCCACCGTGACCCTCGACGTGTCACCATGACAACAGCAGGAATCAAACTGTGGAAAACGTTGCAGGAGGGAGGCAGCGCCAGTGTTGTCTGAGTGTAGCTGACACCTCCACACCAGCAGTGAACAAACAAACCAGTTTAACTACGCAGCATTACGAACTGGTTTGGATATCACGGAGCTCAGGCTGCTGCATTAATTCCATATTAAGTTCTTTATTTTAAGCTGCAAGCTGCTCGATTTGGATTTGTTAAAGAGTTTCCTTTGAGATTAATAAAGTTTTTATCTTATCTGATCTTGTCTTTTGATAAAATTATGGCACATCAACAAGGAGGCATTTTAGCCTCATTTCTCGGTTATCCGTCTCATGCGTGTCTGATGAAACAGATGGAACTTTTTTATCAGCACAGTGCTTTACATAAGTTCAAGTTCTAAACCACAGCTATGCACATATCCAAGTGGTGCTCAAATCACTCCGATACATCTGTGTTTTTCTCTGTAGTACATTTGGTACATTTGGTAGAGGTGCACATAGGCTACTCATAACATCTTTCTTTGCGTTGGTTTAAAATATCAACTTGTGTCTTGGAGAAGCATAAATCTGCATTTACTTGTGTAAACCGGAAGTCCATTTCTTTGCAAGTCTATTTGCTTTAATTTTACACTCATAACTACAGTGATTGCGTGTTGCGCTGGACAGAAACGCATGCTTGAATGCCTTTAGGCGAAGTATTGAGTGACCCACGCTCAATTCTGTGCCTGAAGGCATCTTGTGTAGACACAACCAGAGGAGTAAAGCTGCTGCTGCTGATTGGCTGCTACGTACAGACACAGTTTTAGAATACAACAACCTACAGCACATGATACAGGCTGTGATAGTATTGATATAGCCTGTAGCTGTGTTGGTAGCAAAGGGGCTTCTAAATGGTTTTTAAAATTAAGGAGGTCAGCATCACCAGAGGGAACACCTGCTGCTTTTTAAGTTTAATGTGTTATTTAGTGAGCTGTATCCTGCCTCTAAAGACGGTAAATGACACACTGTTAACGATCCTTCTACAGTACCGTGATAATACCATTGAAGTTATTCTCTCATGCCTTTCGCCTCCAGGACTTCTGTGCCCCAGAGCCTCCCTTCATTCCAGCCAACCTCTCCAGACAGGGGTCTGCTGGTGGCGGCAGGATGACGGGACCTCCGTTCGTGCCCCTGCCCAACTCCACAGCCCTTAGCTGGGCATCCAATGTGACAGCTCCCACTGCGTGGCCTCCCCTCAGCTCCCTCAGGTTGCTTGTATCTCAAGAGGGCCAGTCTTGCGTGGAGGCCTGCCAATCAGCCGGTTTCATCTGTGAACCAGCTCACTTCCGCTTCATCAACAACAAGGAGGCTCTGCGCGGGTAAGTTGGCCGAAAGTAATGTAATGGAACAAAGCTGCCGAACAAATTTTCATTCAGCAGTAAGGAACGAGCAGCTTTGCCTTATCGAGGCACGCCATTCCTACGACATTGTTAGCTGTACCTGAAGAAGACCTTCTGTGGTTCACACAATGTCTGTCATGTCTCCATGGAGTATAAAAAGAAATGAACAAGCAGTGAGCCTGTGTTTTTTCTTTGTGCACAAAACTGTATGCGGTGAACAAATTTAAACAAAGGCTATTGATCTAAAAGACTCCAAATCCATGTTTCTGCACCGTCTGGATGGAAAACTTCTCTTATATTAATTGAAACTAAACCTTGTGGCAACAGGAGGCAACGCATGGAGCCATAACAGATCTATAGTGTACCTGAGAAATGAGATTAGAAATTAATGCATCTCTTCACGAAAGATTTTAAACAGTTCTACATTTCAAATCTAGATTGGCACTAAGTACAGGTGAGGCTGACTCTGAGCGGGTATTTATTCCGTTTACTGTACCAGCTCCTGGCTGCTGAAGCAGAAACCAGAGTTTCAGACGTCTTCTTTTTCTCGAGCTCTTGAGACTTAAAGTCTGCTGTTGTGTGTCTCTCCTCCAAACATCCCCCTCCAACTGTTTTCGGCTCTAACTCTTATTCTTTGCTCTTACTTCATCCTTCAGGTATCTTTTGTGTTTTGCTTTTTCCTGTTTCCTCGGTTTACAGTGCCACTCTCCTTTGTTTCTGTTCTGTTGCTCTTCCTTGTAGCTCACCTCTGTTTTTTTTTAACATAAGTTCTTTTTTTCACATCTCAAACCTGTCTCATAGTTTCTCCTAACTTTCACGACGCTTCTCCACTTTCTCCAGTTCTCCTCTTTGGTTACTCTTTTTTTTTTTTATGGCATCAATACTGTGAAAGTGGTGAAATCTCTCTGTTTCCTTCTTGCACTTTCCTGTCGCTGGTCTCACATAAAAACGACTTTTACTGCTTGTATACTTTTCCTGCAGTGAAACCCAGCGAACCGTTATAGACCTCTACTGCTCTGTTTCACCCCTCAGGTTGGAGGTGCAGTGCGAGGTGGTGGATTCTGAGATCAACCACATCCTCCCGGCCTTCTCCGTGGTGCGACGGGAGTGCGGCCTTCAGCGGGAACCCCTACTCTTCAGCTGTGCAGGACACTCCCCTAAATACAGACGTCTTTGCCCCTGCAGAGACTTCCGCCACGGGCAGGTGGCACTGTGCAGAGACTGTCTATAATGACGGGACACTTGAAGGACAGATACAAAAGAAGTAGACGCAGATTGGTGGGGAGGAAGGGATGCTGGTAAGGCAGCCACAGGCCAGAACAAGTGTAGGGCTGTGACAAATTATCTGATGCCGCAGAGGTAGCCTCTGCCTGAAACAGCAAATGTAAGATCACGAGGAACAGGCTTGCATGGATTTGAAGAGCTTAAGCTTAGGTACCTGCTGGGTTGTAAGTGAGGATTGTGAATGTCTGTAGTTGTTATACTGCAACAGGTTGGAGACATAGAGCAGTAAGACTTTCTAGGACAAGGAGAGGTATAAGCCCCTGAGGACAAAGACTGGGTTACCGCTCGCCAAGCCTTTACAATTTCACATTAACCCCCGTAATTACAGGATAATAGTTTCTACAAGGCGCCGATCGATGATATTATACACAACATTTCATTTTGAGGACTGCATCACGGAAAAATAATGGGTCTAAGTTGGAAAATATACACTTAAAGAAGTGTGGCACTGCAGAGAAACTGATTACTGGGACTATAGTGTCATTCCATGACAGAGTCTTCAAATATCTTGGCTTGGAGAAGGCAACCTCGGGTCAATATCCAATCTCCTCTCTGCACTTGGACAAAGGATGATGGACAACCAGGTTATCTCGCAAGCTTCTTTTTTTCTCCCCTCCTCCTCCAATGACGGACAGAGCCATCTATCAGACTAAACCCCAAGTCTGAGGCAACATCAGTCAATGCAATCATCTCTGGTCAGAAAATGAAAGAGAAGAAGAGAGGACAAAGATAAAGGGCACAAGATTATTTTTCAATAAATAAGCCTTTAGAGCTCTCAACTGGATTTTTAAAGAGTCCTCAAGGCTTTGTGATGGAAAAAATCATAAAATAAAATAAATAAAAATCTGAATGGATCAAAGTGTGGGTTTTATATTGCGTCTAGTCTTCACTCACTTCCTTCCTGTTTTTTATAGGTTGGAGGGTGGCACCTGCTCCCGTCTCTTAAAATCCTTCCACCACTCACGTTCATCCAGATCTCCATCAATCCGTCCACCTTTAGGCGGAGACATTTGATCTGTTTCACATGGAGCTGACAGCGAGCTCAGGTCGAAGCTGTCAGCGAGATAGCAAGCGACAGAAGGGCGAGTAAGACAGCAGATTTAAGGATCTAATTTGAGCATCAAAAGTGATTCCATCAGCTGGAGAGAGTTTATTTGAATGGCTTCATCATAACTGCTGTAACAACATTACTTTGTTGATATAAAGGTTTGACACCAGAAAGTTATAATTCCTCACATTTCGGTTCTGCTTGATACATATGGTTCAATATGGGCGACATGCAGGCTGGAAGTCAGGAATACAAGAGAACAGCAAAGGCATCTACTTACAGCTATATGTATTTACCACACGGCCAGAGTTCAAAAAAAAAAACAAAGTCAATAACTGACCTTTTGTCATCGTGCCATGTACAACTGCACACGGCACTCGCTATCATCCACACATCAGCAGGACTCAGTGGAGCTGGTTACCGTGCTGAGGAGTTGGAGGTGTGCAGCCTGTCGCCTGGAGCGCTTCATCTAGCAGCATGTAATAGCTGTGACTTTATCCCATGACTGTGCAGGATTTAAAAACGGTCTGCATATGTATGCTGTCGGTGCTATAACATACTGAGTAGAAAAAGTATGTAAACTCTTTGGATCTACCTGTTTTTCACACTGACTTGCCATGAAATGTGATCTGATTTTCATCTCACTCACAAACTGAGCGTGCTTTAGCTGGTAACACACAACAAACACCTGTTGAACAAGCTCTTTTTGACACAATGCTTGTAGTTTGGCTGCAGGGTGGCGCAGCTGGTTAGCACTGTTGCCTCGCAGCAAGAAGGTCGCCGGTTCGCGTCCCGGTGGAGGCACCGGAATCTTTCTGCGTAGAGTTTGCATGTTCTCCCCGTGCAGCGTGGGTTCTCCAGCTTCCTCCCACAAGGTCCAAAATCATGTTGAGGTTAATTGGTGATTCTAAATTGTCCATAGGTGTGAATGTGAGTGTGCTTGGTTGTCTGTCTCTAAGTGTAGCCCTGTGATAGACTGGTGACCTGTCCAGGGTGTCCCCTGCCTTCGCCCTGAGTCAGCTGGGATAGACTCCAGCGCCCCCGTGACCCTAGTGAGGATTAAGCGGTGTATAGATAATGGACGGATGGATGGATGGATGCTTGTAGTTTGGGATTAGCTTCAGCCAGCCTGACATCCTAAAAGATATGTATGTTCTGATAGGAGTCCAGGCCCAGAGGCAGTAAAACAGCCTTAAATCAAAATGCTACCTCCCCCTTTGGGTCACTTCTGTTTACATCATCCCTGAATGTTCTTCCTAAGCAGCTCAAGCATCATTCCAACAGTGCACAAACATTTCCCTGAGGTGTGGAGGTGCTCTTGAGACACTGTTGTGATGTTTTGAAGAGCTGCAGTTTCCCCCACAGTGTTTGGCTGCTGACACCAACTTCAATGGATCGTTTTAAGTCTTTAGCTGTTACTAAGGTTCTTTTTTTCTTTTTCTTTTACCTTGAGCACTGTGTTTATGCTCTTGGAATCATTATCTGTGTACCTACTTCTTCGAAGAGCAGCATAAAATTGTATTAAATCATCATCATGTATAGACAATTTCGTATATAATGGAAAATATCCAAACTCCTTGAGACTGCTCTGTAACCCTTTCCCACCTTATCAGCAAATTCTTCACCATAAGTCTGCTGTTCTGAGACCTCTGCTGCTTCATATCAGCATAAGCAAAACCCAAAATGTTTGAGTGTTTTCCTATAAATCAAAGTAGATCCATCGCCCCCAGTCTTGATTGATTGAACTGCCGGTCTGCCAACTCCTGATTCCAATTAGCTTCTGTTTGAACACTGTATTCACACAAGAGCACAAGTATCTGTGTGTTATCAGGTAAAACAGATTCATGTTCATAATTGTTGCTTGGATAAAGATCGTAGAAGTGGATGATTCACAAGGGCTCACGTGCTTTTGTCTTGCCAGTGCACATTGCATCTGCTGTAGCTGCTGCTGTTGTTGTTTCAGCTGAACGCCTTCACTGTGTCGCAGCACTTGGAAACGTATATACCCTGATGTCAGTGAGATTAAATTCAAAACAGTAACAATAGATTACATGCATGCATCATTTCCTGTGATTCCCTCGTGTGTAAGGCAGGCAATTTCATTCCAGGGTGAGAATGGCGGACTCATCTACCAACAATGAAAACTGCTGTACCATATAGAGAAATAATTACTAAATGTAAATACACCGAATGGCTGTTGCAGTAAAAAAAAAAAAACATTATTAGTATTAAAAATTAGTTTGGATTTTATGTGAATCTGAAGTATTCACATTTTTAAAGCCCTCAAACATAGCCTTTAGTTGCCAGTGAAGGCAGTTTAAACTTCCATTTTTTGCAAATACTGTAACATATTGAATTGTAAATGCTTTTATGTCCATCCATCCCTCAATGTTCCTTCACTTATCAAGAGTCAGGTCACGGTGGCAGCAGGCTAAACAGGGCATTTCAGACATCTCTCTCCCCGGCAACTATTTGCAGCTCCTCCTCGGGGATGTTAAAATGTGCCAAATGGCATATGTAATCCATCCAGGGACTTCTGGATCTACCCTTGTTGTTCTCCTCTCGGTTGGTGCCTCTAGGACACTTCCCTTTGGAGGTTGTCTCAGAAGCATCATAATCAGATACCCAAACAACCTCAGCTGACTCATTCTGATGTGAAAGAGCAACAACTTCATCTCTAAGGTCGAAACAAAGCACTCTGTAGAGGAATCACATTAAGGCTTCTTTTATCCACAATCTCATTCTTTGTGTCACTAACCAAGAGTGTACTTTGACTGGTAAATCAAGAGTTTTATCTTCCCACTCAGGTTCCTCTTCAACTGAGTAAAATGCTCACATTTCTGCTGACACTGCACCAATCCGTTTGCAGCAACTCATCCCAAACACAGAGGGAGCAATCCAGTGATTTCTGGCAGAGAATTATGGCTTTAGACTTGGTTGCTTCATGCTTGTCTGCAGACCGTCTCAGTGCATACTGACTATCACAGCCTGATGAAACCAACAGAACCACATCATCTGCAAAAAGCAAAGCCATGACTCGGCAGTTCCCAAACTGGACACCCTCCTCACCCAGGCTTCCTGTTACAAACAGGATTGGAAACTAGGACCAGCCTTGGCAGAGTCCAACACCCACTGGAATCATGTTTGAATCAGAAAAGATGGACAATGAACAAAAAGCCCCAGTACACCATAGTCCCACTGTCCTAAAGTTAAACATTCATTCATAGTTAGGGATGTCACAATGAAGGTTTTTATGTTCCTGATCCTATTAGAGTCATTTAATATTTAGTATCTCCTATCTATACTATTGAATTTCCCTTCTGGGATAAATAAAGTATTTTTCATTTCATACCAATTTCCTAGATAATACATACTTCAAGTATTTTAAACAGGCTGTGGTACCTGCTGGTTGTTCCACTAAGTTAGGCCTCTTACTGTTTAATACTATAGCAACCAACCTTCTGTGTTGGCAAGCAGAGATCATTACGGGAGTTGAGCTAGTGTAGGACCACCATGATAGAGACTTGTATGAGGCTTACTGACCTCAGGCCTGCAAACTAGTAACAAATGAAGCTCAGTTCAGGAAGAATAGTGATCCTACGTCCTATTAATGTGGGCTTTCCTTTCTGTTTCTATGTGAATGCTGATGTATAGAATCAGGCATAGATATTGGTCAATATTATTGACGATCAGGCTCAGGCCTCCCTAGTTGCAGGTCTTCTCCAGGTCCACAAAATACATGTGGAGATGATGGTCAAACTCCCATGACTGTACCTACAGAGCTGGTCCACGGTTGAGTTTTCCTGTAACTTTTCAAGTCTAAATGCTCCAAATCTCTAACACCTCTGTGCTCACCTGCTCCAAAATCCTCCAGATACATTGTTTTGGTTCAATCAACAACTAGAGACAACTTTTATTACACTGAACAGATGTTTAACTGTTTTTTGTTTGTTTGTTTTTGTGTGAATCATTATCTTTTTGTGCATCTATGCAAAAATACTTACCATTTGACAGGTTCAAGTTGCCAGCTTGAGGATTCAGAGTAAAAAGTTCCTTAATTTGTTGTCAAACATTGTTTTTGATTTACTTGTTCTTTTGTCTGTTACTAGTAATAATAGCATCTATCGTTTTTTTTTGTACTTTATTTTTTGATTAACCAGCTATACACAGCTCGCTGATTAACTATTAAATGATGACTATGTGCCATATGTATCGTGGGTGTGTATTACAGATGCTGTGGTGCCCTTGGTCTGAATCCTCGTGACTAATGCAAAATTCAATGAATAATAAATCACAAATGTGAATGCCAAAGTAGATTCATCAAATCCTCATTGACCTGCACCAGCATAGGGGGGAAAAAAATGTCACCCCATTCACCAGCTCACTGTGATCTCAGTTTAACAGGAGAGGCAATTCGCATTGCGATGAATACTTTTCATCTCTGCAATTCATCCATCTTCTTGAGTGAAATATTTACAATGATCATAAAAAAAAAGCACTTAAGCCCTGTGCTGAAAATCTGTTCTTTCTCTCCGTGGACACACACACACATCCGAGTGGGCTGCAGCCAATGGAAAGGTTCCAACCACAGCTATGAGCATAATGTCCGATGACATCATATTGTAAATTATCATTAATTCATTCATTCACATGAAGTAAAGGCTAAGCACCACAGCTGAACACACATCCATCCATCCACCCATTATCTATACACCACTTTATCCGCTGTGAGGTCATGAGGGGCTGGAGCCCATCAAAGCTGACTCAGAAGGCAGGAGACACCCTGGACAGGTCACCAGTCTATCA